CCCGGAGGTCGAGGTGGCGGGACCGCTGCGCTCTGGGCGGTCCCGCTGCCTGCGAGCTCCGGGGCGAGAAAGCCCTGTTCGTAAGTGTGGATCCGACATAAGTCGGATCCGCGTAACTTGGGGACTGCCTGTACTTTGTTTTTGTCCCCATTAAACTTCCTCCTATTTTCCTCTGACCATTTCTCCAGTGTGTCCAGATCATTTTTAATTATGACCCTATTCTCCAGAGCACTTGCAATCCCTCCCAGCTAGGTATCATCTGCAAACATAAAAAGTGTACGTTCTCTGCCGTCATATAAATCATTGATGAAGATATCGAACAGAACCAGTCCCAAAACAGACCCCTGCCTGTTCTTGTTTCTCCCTTCTCACTGAGCAATGGGTCTACCCTGTCCTTGGTCTTCTAGTAATATCTTTGTATATCTTATGTTTTCCCTTGTTACTCCTTCTGATTTTCAAGTAAAATATAGTTCAATACTATTTAATTTATCACATCATACTGATATTGTAGTTATATCTTTGGTTTTACATAAACAGTAAAGCTGGTAAGAGCTAAGAGAAGAATCTTCCTTGAGGTACACTGGACTTTGGCATGAAGATTTATTTTACGTGTTATCTGTTACTATGCTGAGGAGTGCTCTATAACTACCTAGACTAGATTAATAAAGGTATACATGTCCCCTGAGTGCCAGCTCTATTAAAGTGACCACATTTCTATCTCTAGGACCTCTTGCCATTGCTAATCATTCTATTGTACTTTTATCAAATGAAGTTTTAAAAATTATGGTTACCTATTATTTGAACAATTCCTCTAATGGGTGAAGTTCAGAATCTTACTAAACTTACTATTAAATTTAGTTTAAAATTCATTTATTCTCTTTATTTGATACCATTTAAAATACAATCTCTTTTAGCTGCATCTTTCTCTAATTTGCCACATGTTTTTATAAGATATAAAGTCCCCAGATACTAATTTTAATTCTAGCATTGTTGAAAATGTTTTATTCCAATCCAGCAGGTAGTAAACACTTCCTATAAACATTCTGTAGTAGGGATACACAAGCGAAGTCTGTGACCCACTTAAAATGTGGTTTAGGTATAAACCCTAGTTGCAGTCAATACCGATTTTTTTATTGGAAATGTTTTCAAGGAGTAAGTATTAAATTTTAAGTAGTTTTCCTTCTATTTTTATATAAATTTTGCATTGAATTTACAGAGAAGAAACTTCACATTGGCCTTTCAAGCAGCTGAAAGTGTTGGCATCAAATCCACTCTGGTAAGTGTTAAATGTATAATGTGCTGTTTATAAAACGTTTTTTATACTTATATATTGAAACAATTAACAAAACTATCCAAAGCCCAAGATTTGGTGGTGATGGGGGACTTCAACTATCCAGACATATGTTGGGAAACTAACACAGCGAGGCACAGGCTATCCAATAAGTTTCTGGACTGCATTGGAGACAACTTTCTGTTTCAGAAGGTTGAAAAAGCTACCAGAGGAGAAGCTGTTCTGGATTTGGTTTTAACAAATAGGGAGGAACTAGTTGAGAACTTGAAAGTGGAAGACAGTATAGGGGACAGTGATCATGAAATAATAGAGTTCATGATCTTAAGGAAAGGTAGAAGGGAGACCAGCACAATTGAGGTTATGGATTTCAGGAAGGCAGATTTTGATAAGCTCAGAGAACTTGTAGGTAAGGTCCCATGGGAAGCAAGACTGAAGGGAAAAACAACTGAGGAGAGTTGGAAGTATTTCAAAGGGACGTTGTTAAGGGCCCAAAAGCAAACAATTCCGCTGTGTAGGAAAGATAGAAAATATGGCAAAAGACCAGCTTGGCTTAACAAGGAGATCTTGCATGATCTCAAAATAAAAAAGGAGTCATATAAAAAATGGAAACTAGGACAACTAACAAAGGATGAATATAGGCAAGCAACACGGGAATGCAGGGGCAAGATTAGAAAGGCAAAGGCACAAAATGAGATCAAACTAGCTACAGGCATAAAGGGAAACAAGAAGACCTTTTATAAATACATTAAAAGCAAGAGGAAGACCAAGGACAGGGTAGGCCCACTGCTTAGTGAGGAGGGAGAAGCAGTAACAGGGAACTTGGAAATGGCGGAGATGCTCAATGACTTCTTTGTTTCGGTCTTCACCGAGAAGTCTGGAGGTGTGCCTAACGTAGTGAATACAAGCAGAGAGAGGGTAAGTTTAGAAGATAGGATACACAAAGAACAAGTTAAAAATCACTTAGGAAAGTTAGATGTCAGCAAGTCACCAGGTCCTGATGAAATGCATCCCAGGATACTCAAGGAGCTGATAGAGGAGGTATCTGAGCCTTTAGCTATGATCTTTGAAAAATCATGGCAGACAGGGGAGATTCCAGAAGACTGGAAAAGGGCAAATATTGTGCCCATCTATAAAAAGGGGAATAAGAACAACCCAGGAAATTATAGACCGGTCAGTTTAACGTCTGTCCCAGGGAAGATAATGGAGCAGGTAATTAAGGAAATCATATGCAAACACTTGGAAGGTAATAAAGTGATAGGGAATAGCCAGCATGGGTTTGTGAAGAACAAGTCATGCCAAACTAATCTGATAGCTTTCTTTGATAGGATAACGAGCCTTGTGGATAAGGGAGAAGCGGTGGATGTCATATACCTAGACTTTAGTAAGGCATTTGATACGGTCTCGCATGATATTCTTATTGATAAACTAGGCAAATATAACTTAGATAGGGCCACGATAAGGTGGGTGCATAATTGGCTGGATAACCGTAGTCAGAGAGTTGTTGTTAACGGTTCTAAATCCTGCTGGAAAGGGATAACAAGTGGAGTTCCTCAAGGGTCTGTTTTGGGACCCGTACTGTTCAATATCTTCATCAATGATGTAGATATTGGGATAGAGAGTACTCTTATTAAGTTTGCAGATGATACCAAACTGGGTGGGGTTGCAACTTCTTTGGAGGATAGGGACATAATTCAAAATGACCTTAGCAAGTTAGAGAAATGGTCAGAGGTAAACAGGATGAGGTTTAATAAGGAGAAATGCAGAGTGCTCCACTTAGGAAGGAACAATCAGTTCCATACATACAAGATGGGAAGCGACTGTCTAGGAAGGAGCATGGCGGAAAGGGATCTAGGGGTCATAGTGGACCACAAGTTGAATATGAGTCAACAGTGTGATGCTGTTGCCAAAAAAGCAAATATGATTCTAGGTTGTATTAACAGGTGTGTTGTAAGCAAAACTCGTGAAGTCATTCTGCCGCTCTACTCTGCACTAGTTAGGCCTCAGCTGGAGTACTGTGTCCAGTTCTGGGCGCCACATTTCAAGAAAGATGTGGAGAAATTGGAAAGGGTACAGAGAAGAGTGACAAGAATGATTAAAGGTTTAGAGAACATGACCTATGAAGCCAGGCTTCGTGAACTGGGCTTGTTTAGTTTGGAAAAACGAAGATTAAGGGGGGACATGATAGTGGTTTTCAAATATCTAAAAGGGTGTCACAAGGAGGAAGGAGAAAATTTGTTTCTCTTGGTTTCTGAGGACAGGACAAGGAGTAATGGGCTTAAAGTGCAGCAGGGGAGGTTTAGATTGGACATTAGGAAAAAATTCCTAACTGTCAGGGTGGTCAAATATTGGAATAAATTGCCAAGGGAGGTGGTGGAATCTCCCTCTCTGGAGATATTTAAGAACAGGTTAGATAGACATCTGTCAGGGATGGTGTATACGGAGCTTGGTCCTGCCTTGAGGGCGGGGGGCTGGACTCGATGACCTCTCGAGGTCCCTTCCAGTTCTATGATTCTATGAAGTTCTCATACAAAACATTACTGTGTTTTGGGCCAGAAACAATGTAATGGTGACCATTCACTTGCCCAAGAGTGACTTGAAAAATGTATATTCTTTATGAAGGCTGCTTCTCCATGTAGACATAGCTGTTCTCTTCACTGTTTTGTTGTCTTTTTTGACTACTATTTTGATGGGGCAGATATGTTGCCTTATGACAAACTATAACATATCAAGAAACCATTAATATTCAAAACAATACAGCCAAGCAGAACTAGAATACAGGTTAACTGTTCAGATATTCTGGCCTAGAAAGTCTGCAGGTGGAACACCTGGTATGAGTCTGCTGGTGGCTTGAACTGAGTACACACTACATTCTAGATTTACGTTTACATTTCAAACTGTTCGAATTTATTAGAATTCGGAAGCTAAAAAATCAAACCTATTAAAGTTGGTTTATTGTTCAATAAAGTGTGAAGGTTATGATTTTTTAATCCATCTATTATACCAGCAAATTATCCAAAATATTTTTGGGTAGAGAGGCTTCATTTGTCTTCATAATTGAGCACTGCCATCATTTAAGAAAAAATTTGACACTAGGTCTGTAATGAGTGGAAGGTTTAAAAAAATAAAACCCCAAAAAACTGTGTGAATGTTTCTCTAACAATAGTTAAGGTTTTGATTCCTACACGAAGAAACTCCTGAGCAGAGTTTAAAAGAATTGCTAATTAATTATCGGACAAGAGAGACTTTACTGAAGCCAGGGAATTGAAAGAAACCCAAGCCTTGGTGTGTGTGTCCAGCAGTGCAGCTAGAATCACCAGAACCAGAAAAAAATGATTTAAATAACTCATTAGGTTTTGTGTAACTTGAATTCTAAGAAAGCTGCCATCAAGTAAGCAACTCATAATGCTTTATAGTTCAGACATTTAAAAATAACAATTTCCTTGATTCTTATCAAAACCTCTGCCCAGCCATTGTGCTTGTTCACAATGGAGATGCAACTGCTGAGTATTTTTAATACCCCAGAAGTGAATGATTTTGAAAAGTGAAGTTTTTTACCAAATGTAAAAATAGACTATTGAGAGCAAATGTAGAAATGTCCACATGCCGTTAGCTGCAGTACAATGGCAATTTTGTCTCCCATGATATTACAGTACATAATGGTACTAGAAAATGGATTTGACAAGATATCTGGAACTGGCTGATGAAAAACTGAGTTAAAAATATAATCCCTACACATGCAGACGCTTTTATAGGCTCAAGTATATCCAAATTGAATTAAATCTTATAAAAGGAAATCTTATATTTCATAAGCAATTATTGTTAGTGTATGCAGCATATTTACTGGGTGTGTAATAAATGGTCATTGTGTATATAAATGTGAGAGGGTATCTTTAGTTTAGAGGAATGTATTTCTCACAGTTCTTTTCCATAGACTGATCACTTAACACAATAATTGCTATTTGTTTAAAAGCTGTAGAAAATTAATATAAGAATATTGAAAAAAAAGTGAGGTTTTAAAAATTTGCATTGAATTCTTTCTCTTCCTTTGTGTATAGGTTCTATAGGTAGATTGTGGAATACGATGCATGCATCTTACTTTGTAAATCCATTTGCACACTTATGGTGCAATATGAATAATATGAATTATTATGAAATGAATTATTAGAATATTATGAATAATATGAATTATTAGAATAGTTTTTAGATTAATTCATAAGTTTGTTAGGTAGTTTTTAATGCCTCACCTTTTTCCTCTCCTTCTGAATATATATTTTACTAATTTTGGTAAAGCTCATTTTTTTTCCTAGTTAAAAATCCACTTTGGGAATAACAACACTATTGTAAAGTGACACTTGACAAGATCTAGTAATAAGGTTTAATGTTAGAAAACACGTTTATGTAGTTAATAACTAGGACTTGATCCTGCAGTTCAAAGTGCCCATGTGAATGTCTATGTGCCATTAACCACAACACTGGGATTCTAGTATTTAAAAACATGAGTATTTTTTGTTAGCAGTATTAAATTAGAAGAAAACAAGTATATTCCAGTGCTCCCTATAAGCTGAGCACTTGGGTGGCCACCCAGGAGAGATTCAAAGGCTGCCCAGCTGATTAGCAAAGTGCCCTCTGCCAGCAGCATGCGTTTCTATTGGTGGTGCACATCTATACCTGTCTTGGTGCACATAATTTATTCTGCTTATGGATGGAAAAAGTTAGAGAAGAAACATTAATTTTGTGACCTCCTGTACATGAATCCAATATCAGAGTATATCAATGTTCCTTTTCAATTAGAAGAGGTAGGCCTTACCAGATGGCCCAGAAGTAATTGTTTTAAACTTTAAAGTGATGAGCAATCTTTCACTATCTGAACTTTGAAAATGATATACTGACCAAATGGAGATCTTTCCTTAAGCCTTTCTCATAGTGGGAGCTTTACAGCTTTGTTGAGTACTATGTTAACATGAACATGCAAGGTGATAATTTTTAATTTTGATCTTCTTTTTGTGACAGGACATCAATGAAATGGTGCGAACTGAACGTCCAGACTGGCAGAATGTCATGCTCTATGTTACTGCAATTTACAAATACTTTGAAACCTGAAACCTTGTTAATTCAAAATATTTGCAGGGTAGAATCAACACTAGCTGCCAGACAGAAACATGACTGAAATGCTAATCCTAGATTCATTGAAATCTGGCAACATTCATGTCCCTCAACCTGCAGTGACACTATCATGGATTGTCTCTTAACTGCTTCCGCCAACAAACTTTGGGACATAGGTTATAAGCAAGAATGTGTTACCAGTATGCTTGGCGTGTCCCTTTTATTAAGTTATCCAAATTCATATGTAGCCTAATAAGACTGGCCTTCTAAGAACTGCATTTACAACTAGACTTCCTGAAGTTTTCATGTTTTCTTGAAAGACTGAGAATGCAGTAACATACAAATTTGAATGTACAGCTAAAACTATGAGAAGGGAAAGGATGAAACATCATGAATTTTCTCTACTATCACAGACCACACAGTCTGTGTGAATATTGTATCCCTATGTACACTGCACCCCAAATTCTTAATAGTAACAGAAGTTACTGCCTTAATTAGTTTTTCTCCTTTAAAGTGCACAATATTCAAGGGAAAGGAGCTTTTATTCTGTCATGCTTATTTGACTGGAGTGTTCTCAGCACCTGGACAAACCTGGTGCAGAAGAACTCTTCAGTGTAAAGCTCTGTTTAAGCCTACCTCTGTTGCACAGTTATGTGGCTTCCAACTTTATATAATGAATAAGGACTAGCACATACTCTTCAAGCCAGGAATTGTATGCTGTATTTACATGGAATTTTCATATAATTTTCTGTGCTTCCATAATTAATTAGATTAATCAAAAAGCATCCATGTAAAACTTCTCTATCCTCTCCTTCCTTTGCCTGCATAGCACACAGAAATGTTGAGCTTTCCTTTACAGCAATACAAGCATACAATAGCTATGATTTCAATGGTAGAATTATGTTTGTGTGCTGTCTTCCTTACAGAGGAGATAATTGTCAGCAATGGGTATCTGCAGTAAGATTAATTATGTGATACTGTACTGGAATATTGTATCTCAAAGACAAATGCTTCCAAGGAAAGAAGGAAAAGCTTTGGTCTGCTCCGATTGTATTCTCTGAAAATGCACCTCAGTTCATGTGGCAACTCTCTGGGCAAAAGAGGTCAAGCAAGTGCCTTAAAATATCTTTGAGTTGGTAGACCCTGGATCCTCCTCATGGCTTTGTGCAGAAAATTAGGAGCTCAAAAGGATTTCTAGTGGCAAACTGATGTCTACTGTTTCAAAATGATTTTGTAATCCTTTACTTATCAAACCAAGGGAAAGCCTTCACCCTACCATTGTGTTCTTGCCTCCTCTTACATAGTTAGCAACAGTTAAGCCACAGGAAAGAGACACCCCCCCTCTAATATTGAGCTGAAACTTTCATTTAATGACAACCTTTCACTTAACCTGCCAACAGCCCTGTTAGAAACAATGATTCTGTTATTCCTATTGTGTGCCTATAACTCTTATGAACAGTTTGAATGAATAGATGTTAACAGCTCAGTGAATGAAATTGTGCTTGGCAACTATGAAGTATCATCAGGAATGAGAACACTGATTCAGGTCAAAACTATATAGCTAGTCAGAATAGCTAGAGGTTGGGAGGCTAATGGTAGGCAGCCCCACAGGTAGTTAAAAATTCTCAAGCTGTGAGTAAACAGGCTTGATGATCCGTGGCAACCAAGAGAAAATGATCACAGAAGAATCTTCAAATAAAAATCTTCATAAGCTTTGAGTAGAAAGAAATTAGGAATGTATGCTATAGCTTTCACAAACAGTTAAATTCCCATTTCTGCATATTTATGCTACATGCTTCTTTTACTTATAAATTTAAGTTGTCTATTTAGTTGTCATTTTATTTATTACATGAAGCTTGAAGAAAAATATTGTTTCTAATCAAAAAGCACTCAAGTCTAAATTCCCAAAAAATCTTTTTATTTCGCATAACTGATCTCAAGGCTATATTTAGCTATTTTTCTGCGAAGTGGTGCCTGAACTTTACTTTTCTGTAAGTCATTAATTGTAGTAATATTGCTCATGTAAACATCATTAAAAGGGAACTCTGGTTTCTTCAAATATATCCCATTAGGCAACATGACAGAAGAATTATGAATCTGTAGAGATGGAATTTTAAAAATGATAAATACAGACCTTTATTAGAAATTAAGAAATCTACAGATAACTACTTGGTGCGATCGGTCTGTCTCTATGGATTCTTTCTGGTTTTTTGGTCTGAAGTTGTACTTGTTGTTGATGGTACACAACTACTGGAGTCACATCTGGAAAGAGGCATGTGGCTCCGTAAAGAAACTTCCTAAAGACCCATCTGATCCTTTACAAAAAACACTGTTTTTCTGACACAATGAAAGGATATTCAAGAAAGGGATGCAAGAAATAAAACAAACTGAACCTTAGTACACAGTAACGGAATGTTCAGAGGCGGAAACAACAAATCTATCCTTTTGCTAATTGGAAGAATGACTTGCGTAACCAGTCTGGATAAGAATAATACACTTAGTATGGTTCCAACTCATACTTCACCCTGAAAGGTGAACAGTTCTGTTACACATTGTAGAGCACAAGCTTCTTGCTGATTGACTTGATTTTTTTTGTTCTGTTTAATATATCTAAATGTATTCAATATGCCAAACAATATATTGTAGATTTTTACTGTATTTTAGTGTGTGCCTTGCAAATGCCTGTGTTTTGGTAGGTCAGTGTTATTCATGTCCATCTCGGTAAGAGGTGCACATACCGAAAACTGCTTGGACGTATTTATGCAGATTTGGATCTGTTGCTGTCTGGATAATATTAAGTAAAACACATTCCACTGAATGTAAAGATGTCTACCCAGTCGGGTATGTCAAATTTGTTTAATGTGCATGGTACATCAGTGGTAAACGGAATGAACAACTGAAGCTTTTTCTTTACCTTCAGGTAGCATCAAAGGGAGGAATAAGGTATTTTTTAATGTTAAAATGGATGGGGTTCTGAGTTTTTTTTTTTTTAATGTCCGTTATAATAATAATAAAGGTGATCTGACTTCAGAATTGATGACTCAGTTGATTGAGTTTTCAGGTATTTAATATTTTTAACTGCAAACATTTATCCATTAGTTTTGGCCTTGTAACTCAGTGGACCTCTTGAATATTTACTACAGCAACACCTGCTAGAAATTCTAAGCAAAAGCCTCCAATTGAAACTTCACCCAGAGAGATGCAACCCAGAATGGTGTATTAATTATATGATATCTTGGTTAAATAATAAAACGTCATTCTTTACCTTATTAAACATTATTTTTGCCAGGTACATAAAGCATCTATCAGAGGCTGATGTGTCTCTAATTTAATGTCATCCCTACCTTTCTGTGCTCCTGAAAAGACAACTAACCTGCAATGAGAGTTCTCTAACTTGCCTGGGTAATGTAATCATAGTCACCTGTTACACTGGTGTAAATTCATATAATCCCCACTGCCTTTAGTAGTGACTACTGTTTTACACCTATGAACAGAGCCGAATATTTTGTCAGGAGTTGTCAGTGACAGCAAAATCTCTACAGGGTGCCTGTCAATGACCTCAACATTAAATCTCATCTTCCCCACCGCAGCCTTTCTACCTATAGCATGATCGACCAAAGGACCTGGTAGTGACAGCAATTTTGTTGCTAGTGTGGAAGGTAGAATAGTGTCTTCTTTCTGCATCTCTAGTTTTTGTGCAGTTCTGACAAATGTGTAAATTCTTCTAACCAAAATTCTCCTTTAAAATAACAGATAAGAACATGAGCTTTTCCAGTATTTTCGTTTACCAGCTGTGTTGTACATGTTGTCTTCTGAGCACTGCTTCCCTGTCCACTGGCAAGCTGGCATCCCTTTCACAGCTTGCTCCATGAATGTCACAATGACATTTCTGCCCTGATTCAAGACCCAGCCCCAGATAGGCTACCTGTGGAAAAGGGCTTTATAGTTGTAATATATCTGCGCAAATTGCTTGTCCCCATCTAATTCTGAGTGTGCCCCTCCAGGTTTTTTGCTTGTGTCTCAGTAAGAAGTTTCTTTGCTGAAAGGATGTTTGGTGTAGTAGAAAGGGTTATGAACTGCTATATTTAATTTAAAATAAAATCTATTGACAGGGTTCAATTGGGTTTACTGGGCATTTCTAAGAATTCACCTTTGTCTGTTCTTAATGTTATCCTATAATAACCAAGTCAGAATTTGAGTACATTTGGTAACTCAAAAGGTGTCAGGGGCTTAAACATTTGATTATCATTCTGATGACCAAATGGTTTAAAACATTTTTATATGTAATTGTATATGAAGGGCTTGCCCATTAAGCAGTGGATCTGTTTTGAAGTGGATCTATTATTTCTTGTGTTCCATAATTGCCAGCTTTTACAGTTGAAAGATCTAATGATTCATCTTGACAAGATTACTTTTTCCTTCCATTAGAAATTGTTTCCCTTCACAAACTTTGAATAATGTTTAGCTATGAAAGCCAGACGCCTTTGCATTTTTCTCTTGTGTAAAGTGTTTTATTTTTCATGTTTAAGGTTCCTGGCCCTTATTGATACAGGGCTATAGTCTGCTATTGAGTTGCATGCAGATTTCCTAGTGACTTCAGTGAGAGTTTTGAGTGCAGAACAATAGTAGGATAAGTCCTTTACAGGATGTTTTGTAGCAGCCTTATTGTGATTTATTTCCCATTGTCATCTCCATCTTCAGAAGTTTGCAGTGTGGTCAAAATCACTCTATCCAGGCTGAAACTTGGTATATAAAATCTCTCCTGGGGCACATGCTTATGGGAACCAAAGAAAATGCCAGTGTTAGAATTTTTGTACTTTTCTAATGCCTTTGAATTTTAAAACTGAGAATTTGGGGATAGTGCTAGAATAGGTTTTTGGAGGAAAAAATTTTAGACTTCTCCAGTGTAGACAAGCAACATGTTACATTTGCCTCCTCTCTCCAGTGAATAATATGCATAGTTTTAATCGTGTGTGTGTGTGTGTGTGTGTGTGTGTGTGTGTGTGTGTGTGTCAGTTAGAATGCCACAATAGACAGTTTTTGCTGCAAAAGAGCCCCTATAATTTACCATATAAATAGTTCATGAACCAAGATTTAAAGCATATGCTGTATTGGCAACAAAGGAATGGCTAAAATTGTTAAAATTCCCCTTCACAAAAATTACTTTTTTCAGGATCCTATGTATTTACAATTAAGGTGAATTTCAGGAAATGGGAGACACCTTGATATGTGTGCATGCATATAACTTATACATGTAAAATTACATAATGTTTTAATAGTGTTTTCCAAAATATTTTAAAATGCGTATCATTAAATATTCAGTTTCTTACAACCTGGTTCTTACTAGTTTAACATAGATTTACTTTTAAAACTGCACTTCTTCCATGTTTCATCCGTTAGTTTGCTTGAAGAAAAACAAAGCCTTTGTTTTCCCATTGGATAATATAAATGAAAAGCATGAGACTGCTAATTGGAATATGGAGCATTTCCCCTCTAGATTCAGTTCAAATCCAGTTTAAGCCAGTAGTGGCTGTGTGAAGGTTGTTTGGTGAAGATGAAACCAATTGGGAATACAATCAGGAAGTCACAGAATAACGCTAATTGGCCCTGCCCAAAGGGTTGAATGAGTCTGGAAAGTGGAACTTTCAGTTCCACTTTGAGAGAACTGGCAGAGCAGTGTGGGGAAACTTGTCTTCCACCCCCTATGTTGTGTTATTTGCTTACAAAGTGGCCCACAATTTTAATAATGATGCTACTCCAGTACTATCAGTTGGCACAACAAAGAGAATTGGAATGTTCCATTGCTTTTACTACTCCTACAGACAGAAAAGTGATAGCATAAAGGCCTTCCCATACATTCTTCCTCATTTTTATTTATCTGTGTGCATTAGAACATGCGAATCACCCTAGCAGTTCTTGGGTGGCATGAGGGTAGCCGTTCTAGTTCTATGCAAAAAGTGTTTTTTCCTTCTTACTTACACACACATTCTGTTGATGCATCTGAAAAGGCTTCAAGAAATGTCTGAGCTTTAAGTGCATAGTTGTGTCCTAGATTTGACCTTAAAGTGTAAGCAAGGGAAAAACAGTATCTTTCATTCCCTTCTCTTCCAGTTGGATGTGAGATTTGGAAGCAAAGAGGAGGAATCCAAAATATTTCCATTACATTGCAACCTGGTTCCCGTCTGATAGGCAAAAATCCACAATCATTGGACCTTCAGAGGTGGCCAATCTGATTTTAAGTTAAAGCCTTTGTAGGAAGTATGCTTTGAGGTTTTGCAAGTTCCACTAAAGGCATTTACTTCATGCAAAACAATCTACTCTGCATTTTGTATTTAGTTTCTATGCCTTCAGTTTGCCATGTTTTCTTCTCAATTTTGTGAAATAAAGATTTACAGATATTAAAATGTGTATTGTTTTGACTGAGGTGGGCCATCGTGCAAACTGATATTCAGTTACCGTTTAGTACCACTGTCACTATTACTGGTTTTCAGAATAATATTCATAAGGCATATGTTCTAGAAGCGTGTGGGACATGTTTGGAATATATGGCGTATGGGAAGGTAGAACTAATTCCTGATATTTTATGTGAAATTATTTCAGTTTTAGCACTAGCAGCGCAATTTAAAGCAGTGGTCACTAGTAGTAGATTGGGATCTACTAGTGGATCTTGAAGCCTCTGGTAGATGATCCTGAGTGGCTTGGCCAAGAAGCTATCAAGCTCAGCACTTCAACTGCCCCTCCCTTCACTGCTGCTCATCTCCTGCCCTTTGCCTTGGAGCTGCCCTTCCCCCCGGGGAGCCTCCTGCTTGCTGTGCAGGTCAGGGGAGGAAGAGAAGGGGGCTGATGTCCAAGGTGCCCCCTCCCACTTTTTATCCTTTCTTCAGAGAGCAGAGGGGTCACAACAGGACTTGGGATGGAGTTTGCTGGTTGCTTTAGGGAGAAGGCCAGGGCAGGGGTGAGCACCCCATCCCCGAGCACCCCTGCACCTAGAACCCTCTCCTACATCCCAGCTGCCTGCCCCAAGAGCAGCTCAGAGCCCCTTTCACACTCCAGATCCCTTAATCCAAGACCAGAGCCTGCACCCCAACCCTCTGCTCCAGCCTGATGAAAATGAGTGAGGATGGGCAAGAGAGGAAGGATGGAGTGAGCAGGAGCGGAGCCTCGGAGAAGGGATGGGAAGCCGGCGGGGCAAGGGTATTTATATTTGAGGTAGATCTTGGATTGCACTTAAATTCAAAAGGCGATCTTGTGCTTAAAAAGGTTGGAGACCCCTGAGTTAAAGTAGCTGCTCTGAAGGGTTTAGGTACTATAGTGATGGGTATTCTTCATTATTTGATAGTTGTATACTTGATGTATTGTCCTTACATTGAATTGTTCTGGTCTTGACTGCTCAGTTAATAGAGGATGGAATTGCTTGGGGGGTTTTCTTGTTTATGGCCTATTATACATTTCTACTCTTGGGCTACGTCTAGACTGGCATGATTTTCCGGAAATGCTTTTAACGGAAAAGTTTTCCGTTAAAAGCATTTTCGGAACAGAGCGTCTAGATTGGCACGGACGCTTTTCGGCAAAAACACATATTCAACCTGTGGTCCACTATGACCCCTAGATCCCTTTCCTCCATGCTCCTTCCTAGACAGTCGCTTCCCATCTTGTATGTACGGAACTGATTGTTCCTTCCTAAGTAGAGCACTTTGCATCTCTCTTTATTAAACTTCATCCTGTTTACCTCTGACCATTTCTCTAACTTGCTAAGGTCATTTTGAATTATGTCCCTATCCTCCAAAGAAGTTGCAATCCCACCCAGTTTGGTATCATCTGCAAACTTTAAAATGGATTAAAACAAAATAGAAATCAGTTTGTCCAAGTCCCCAGATTTGTTTTTCTAGAGGGGAAAAATAAAATTCAGTTTCTGCAATGGAAGATTAACCATGTTTCGGCATTTTTGTTGAACTGTAGGCATTCTTTTCTCCCTGCTTACATTTTCATACCAGAACTGAGGTCAGTTTTTTAAAGATTGGCTTGTTTTATAT